GGTGTGGTCCCGCGGCCAGCGGCGCAAGATGGCCCAGGAGAACCCCAAGATGCACAACTCGGAGATCAGCAAGCGCCTCGGCGCGGACTGGAAGCTGCTGAGCGACGCCGAGAAGCGGCCCTTCATCGACGAGGCCAAGCGGCTGCGGGCCGTGCACATGAAGGAGTATCCGGATTACAAATATCGGCCCCGTCGGAAGACCAAGACCTTGCTCAAGAAGGACAAGTACTCGCTGCCCGGCAACCTGCTGGCGCCCGGCGGGGCCAGCACGGTGAGCAGCCCCGTCGGCGTGGGCCAGAGGATTGACACTTATGCCCACATGAACGGCTGGACCAACGGCGCTTACTCGCTGATGCAGGAGCCGCTGGGCTACGGGCAGCACGCGGCCGTGGGCAGCCCGCAGCTGCAGCAGATGCACCGCTACGACATGGGCGGCCTGCAGTACAGCCCCATGATGTCCTCGGCGCAGAGCTACATGAGCGCCGCTTCCACCTACAGCATGTCCCCGGCCTACGGGCAGCAGCCCGCGGCGCCCGTGGGCCTGAGCTCCGTGGGCTCCGTAGTGAAGTCGGAGCCCAGCTCGCCGCCGCCCGCCCTCACGTCGCACTCGCAGAGACAAAACAGTATGAAAACAGAGACACAGTTATTTGAGGTTTTATTAAGTAGAGTGCCACTTAATTTCCTTTGTGCATTTCCCAAAAGGGTATAACATCTATTTCTTTGCCTATCCAATGTTCTGTAAAATTCACAAATGTACCCCATTGATTTTCAGTCTACACTGTGTAGAGTGAAGAGAAACAATAACTGTATATAGAAAATATTGATTTAGGGCCATTGATTCAAGGCCCCAGGGTATCAAAAGATTAGTTACTTTTAAGGAAAGTACTAAAGGTGACTTTCATCTACTTTGTTATTGACAAACATGGAACAGATAAAACCTTTCATTCAAAGCAGCAAGATACCAAACCAGAAGCTGTTACAAAAAAAAAAAAAAAAAAAAGTTTTGCAGCGGGCTCGCCTCTTCTCGTTTGGTGTTTTTAGCGTTGCAATGAAAACGGCGAGCTTTTGTTTTTAAACTCCGTTGTTCAGTTGTTTACATTTTCGTTGTGATTTCTTTAAAATGTTGTGTTCTTCCCATCCAATTGAGTCTCGCTTGGTTTCTATCCCAAATCTGTAGTTTTCAGGAGTTTTTAACTTTTAGAGTTTTGTTCCGGGGGGTGGGGAATAAAAGGGGGAGCGGGAGAGGGGGAAGAGAACTGTGCAGGTCGCAAATGCATTTCTTTTATTTATAGCAAGTCGTGTGTCTTGAGTTTGCTTTTTTTTCTTGCCTTTTTTTTTTCTCTTAAGCTGTAAACTTATGTAACTGGGTTTGTGAATTTTACTGTGAACCATGTTTTGACATATCAGATGAAGAAACGTTTTAGTTTGTTTACTGGATTTCTTCCAAAAATAACAAGAAAAAGGCGAAGTTATCGAACCACTCGTCTTCCTTTCCCCTTTCCTCGTTCTCTTCCTCCTGCGAACCGAAAAGCGGTTGCTAAATGCCGCGTGCGGCGCCGGGGAGCCGCGCGCGGAGGGAAGCGCGACCCCTCGGAGCCCTCCTCAGCTGCCACGCAGGGGCTGCCGCTCCCGGCACTTGTTGCCTCCGCGCCTGGCCTGGACACCGAGCGCCGTGGGGATGGTCACGGGGGCGAAACCCCCGCGGGGCCTTGTGACGGGACCCCCTGAAAAATGAAGGGTTCCGGGCGTCCCCCGAGGAAATAAACAGTTCCCTCCTGCCGCTGTGTTTGACGAGTGCTTTGGTGGCGACAGCCGCTTCTGTGTGGCGGGGGCCGCCCCGGAGCGCCGCGCTTGCCCGCGGCACCCCCGCCCCCCCCAGCAGCGCCTGGGGCGAAAATCCCCCCTTTCCCAGCATTTGCCCCCAGATCCGTCCCCGGCTCTGAGCTGGCCCGGCAGCTCCGCGGCGTCTCTGCAAACGCCTCAGCATCGGCGTTTCCTTTGCTTCGTTCAGGTAAACTTTTCACTGTCTCATGAGGGAAGACCTGGGAGAGGGAGGGTTGCGGAGAGGGTTGTTCGTTTGGGTATTTCTGTTCGTTTTTGTTCTACTCGGGGCTCCGTGGCAGGCTACCGCCTGCTCAGGAGGGCCGGGATCTGCCGTCGGGAGCCCTGCCCGGCGCCCTGACCGAGGCCGCCCCTCTCCGCTGCCGCTCCTGCGGCCCTGATGGGCAGAGCTGCGGGGCTGGGGGGGCGCGGGCAGCCGCGCGGTTCCCCCCATCGGCAGCGCTACGCACAGGGAGCCGCAGCCGCACACCCCCCACCCGGCGGCAGCGGGCCTCGGGGCAGGCACTTTGCGCTGGGTGCTGTGATCCTCCTGGTTTGTTTGCCGCGCTTATTCCCCTTCTCGCTGCCGCCCTCCAACCAGGATCGCCTCTACTCCGAGCCCTGCAGGAAGAGCAGCCCCATGGCCTGAGTGCTGGTGCACAGAGAAATGCAGGGGTGGCGGCAGGTCCCATTTCATCCCTGCTTGGAGTTGGCCACTGAGCTGCCCAGCGCTCTCCAGGGCAGGCAGTACCAGCAGAGCTCTGGCAGCAGCTCTCCCCGCAGCAGGGCAGCTGCGGCCCGGCCCTGGGCGCCAGGGA